CAAATTAAATGTTAGTACAACTTTGGTAAATTGGATTCATGCTTTCCTAAGCCATAGAATGCATAGAGTACGTATTGGCGATCACTTCTCGAGATGGCTAAGTCCGAAGGGAGGTGTGCCTCAGGGGTCCTGGCTTGGGCTTTTAAAAATGTCTGTGAGGAAATCTGTAGCTGGTCCACTAGCAACAGAATGAAGATTAATGAAAAGAAAACTAAGGAAATGCTAATTAGCTGTAAACGTGTAAAATCACAACCTCCAATGATTCAGATAAATGGTGTTAATATTGGCAATGTTTGATTGAACACATTACATTCTAGCAACTCTTAAAGGAGATATACTTTGTGGCGTATTTAACTATAACAGACTAAAACCTTGCTTCATGAGGGCTACAGACGAAAGAAAAAATGTTACACACATTCACAAGTTGCGACAGTTGATACCATAAGTATAATTATTGTTTTTGAATATTTCAGGCCAAAGACTACTCCAATTCCACATCGACCGCTGCCTCCTCATCTAGTGCCTCCTCATCTAGCTCATCGAGGCGCAGAAGAGCTGCAAAGGTAAGGACAATTTTAGATTCAATGTTATTTATTTACTTTTATGTTTGATTTATTGTATGTAGTCTTGGTGATTTTTTCCTCATGCAAGTAAGTAGTCTTGAGCAATTTCAAATTGTGTTTAAATATATTGTTATGATTACAATCTAATGTTCGATACAAATGGTCATACAATGTTATAATCTATTGCACTATAATTACAATTACTGTTTTTGAATATTTCAGGCCAAAGACTACTTCAATACCACATCGAAAGCGCTGCCTCCTCAACTAGGTCCTCAAGGTGCAGAAGAGCTGCAAAAGTTAAGGACAATTTTAGATTCAATGTTTTTTTTTCTTTTATGTTTGATTTATTGTATGCACTCTGGGTGGGTTTTTCCTCATGCAGATTTTTTTGTATTTACAGTTTTACAATTTAGTTACATCAATCTGTTTTCGTTTACAGCAAGCGGCACCCCAGCGGGAACCATCCACTGAATTTGACTATGAATCCTGTTCATCTGAATCAGATATTTTTAGGATACACAGTTGAACAAAGTCGAATCCAAAATGCCATTTAAATATTTTCGATTTTGTATTATTTACATAGTTGATTGAGGGTACACTGTAAAAATGAGACTGTGAATTTAAACACTTCAATGTTAAATAACGGTTCATTGTCGCGGGTAAAATTAACATTTTTTCAGTAATTTTACGTTCGCTGTTGTAATCCTATTATCAGTAAAAATGTCTGCAGTTTTACGTTTACTGAAATCCAATTTACTGTAAAAATAATGGTCACTATCGTGCAATTGTATTTTAACGGTATTTTGTATAATAATACAATTATGTATTGTACCGTATTAATAAAGTGTTGTGTATTACAAAGGAATTGATATGTAAATATACGGTGAATTCGTAAATGCAATGTGTTTGGTGGTTGTATTACCGTAATTTAACAGGTCAAAATCAATTCATTAAGTAATTTAACGTCGGAGCTCGTAATGTTCAGTTATGAATTGGCGTAATTTTACAGTTCAAATTACTTAAAAGTACGTATTTTAACGGTATTTTTGTATAACGATGTGAATTTAAACACTTCGATGTTAGAAATCAGTTCATCTTCACAGGTAAATCAATAATTTTTCAGTTAATTTGCGATCAATAAAAGATGTCTTAATTTTACGTTCACCGTAACCCAATTTATATTGTAAAAATAACAGTCGACATTACAATGACGTGATTCAGCACCATTTTTCATATAAATACAATAAATTTGTAATTATAATGTGCTTTGGTAGTTGATTTGTGATATATTTCCAGTAATATAAATACAATGAATTTGTAAATATAATGTGCTTTGGTAGTTGATTTGTGATATATTTCCAGTAATTTAACAGGTCAAAATTAACATTAATTAAACATCGGAGCCCTTAAATTTCGGCTATATTGCGTAATTTGACATACGATAGGCCCCATGTTGTGTTACTTCACAGCAAGGCCTGTAGGCCTGTCTTAACAAAAGTTTTGCATATTTTAAC